ATTTTATTACATGACAGTTTACCTTGTCAGGGTTCTTGTCTCTCAGTATCAACACTTTTAACTCTGAGAAGTGTGGGAGGCTGACAGAACTCTTGTCTCTTCTTCTACCAAATGCAGCATGACTATATGATATGCTATTTATTAACTAAAAAAATAGAATTAACTTGAATATTTTATAGTAGATATTCATTGAGCATACTTCTATTCACAAGAAAGAGTGAGTAAAGAATCTATGTGCGGCTTTGCATTGAGAGATTAAAAAGCATAGACCTGTGCAAGAACCTCCTCCTCTTCATCACTAACTCCAGGGAGATACAATATATTGCTTTTGGTGTAATGTATTTTTAGTCCTTAAATGAATAATGTGAATCAGTGTTAGCATATGACTATATACAAAGAGCAGACTCTCTAATTTATTCCAGAGACATAGCAGAAATGGCTCTTAAAGAAATCTTCCTAGGAAGAATGATTAATTAATAAGAACTTAGCATTGTATCAGTTTCATAAACATGACAGCAAAAAAGGAATTTCAAGGAAGTATTTGAGGAATAAAAAGAGAAAGAGACATTTAAGGGAACTCTCTTACTGGTGAGTGGAGCAGACAGCACACAAGAAAGGAAGGAACAAAAATAAGGAATTTAAAGCTATCAACCATGACTACATTTCCATGTATGCAGTACTTGCAGTGAATGTGTTTGTCTCCCTGGTATTATATGATGGTGATGGGACAAATCATGGATTTTTTAAAATTAAAAAACAAATTCCCATTTCGGCAGCCATTTTGCTGCCCATCTACAACATGATGCACACTGTGACCCTCATCACTGAAACACCACTGCCAGATCAAGTCATGGCTGTTGGTGTTGGTGAAAATGAGGGGCTTTGGCTTATCTGGCTTTTGCCTGTCTGGATGCCATTTCCTTCATTCAGGACTTCTCATAGTTCTTTAACAGAGCTGCCCCTTCCTGACAGCTCCATAACTGAATATGAAGAGTCCTCTCTGAACTATACAATAATTCTTCCAGGGTTCAAAGAAATTTTGAATGAAGCAATCAGATATGTTGGGAGGCTCCCCAAAATGCTGGAGTTTTTTTCAAGGTATCATTATTCTGATTCTCATGGAACATCACTCTTACTCAAAGAGAAGCCCAACTGTATGCATATTTAAAGAGACATAGATAAGCCATGTCTGCCAGTGTGGAAGTACCTCAAATGAAGTTGTTCTAAAATAGGATTGCAATCTTTGGGGGATCTCCTAGACAAAGCTATTTTTGAAGCACCACACAGGTGCTGGTAGCAGCACACAGAGTCTGATATTTCCAGGAAGAGATGGATTCACTTTGCATGCACTAAATAATGTGGCAGAAGAAATCAATACATCAGACAGATGCCTCATTCCCCGATCACTGGGGCAGTATGCCTGCCCTATCACATTTTTCACACTGTGATCCCAGTGCGTACATTCATGGTGGACATGCTGAGCAGGATGACTGAGTGATTACTCCACCCTGGCTTCTTTCAGCCTGGAAATCCTGGGTTAATGTAAAAAGTCCTCCTGTTTCAACCAGACAAAAGTTTCCAGACGGAATTAAACAGGACACATCTGGGAAAACCTGGATGTCAGACAGCCACAGAGCATTGACACATTTTAACTTTGAGCAATAACTTAGGCGCCCATGTCAGCAATCTCATTTCATTATGAAATCAATAGAAGTACATAATACTGCTGGTTCTAGTCTCTTTTTAAGGATTATTGCTTCTCCCACTTGATGACATTCCCCATGATATATCCCCTCACAATCTCACAGAAGTGAATTATATCTCATGAATTACTTCAACTCCATTTTCTTTCTATATGTTTATATATGTTCTCCTTTTAAAATTACAATTGTCATCTCTTATTTGGAGTTATTTTTTCAAATGTTATTCAAACTTATTCTCTCTCAATTTTCTTTCTTTGATCTGACAGGTATTTCCTTCTTTTTTCTGGAATTCTAGTGCTCCCACCTGAATATAACTTCGAAAAAAGGTAATTTTCATTAGAGGCAGTTTAAAAAAATAAACTAAGTGGGCACCAATAAAGTAATCAAATCTTACAAAATTACTTAGGAAAAAATGTGCTTTGGGAAAGACAAAAGGAAAAAAAACCAGCATTAGCAGAAGATACATTCTCTCTGAAGAGGAAAAAAAAAAAAGAAGAATTTTATTTTGGATTAAATGTATTTGCAGGGACAGAAAGGGAGAAGAAATCTGCAAACCTGGTTGAACTTCAGGTGTTAATACTACTTACTTTTATTTAAGTCATGTGAATTCTCAAATCTACAATTCAGGGCAATTCCAAAGTTATTTGAGGTCTTTAACATCACTACCCAGCATATGCCAAGAGTGCTAAACATAACTGGGGCCTGATCTGCTCCATTTGGCTGTCTGTCCTAGCATTTCCCTTCAGGGACTTCTCTTCCTTAGTTCTTCAAGCCTGCAACCAGCATCCTCTCCTCTTGCCAGAGACACCATTTTTTCTCTCCCAGTTCTCAGATATCTTAAACATCCTCCTTCTTTTTCTTCCTCTTATTTGTTTTTCTGGTGAGAAACATCCGTCTCCCTAACAGCTAGCAGCAGCCTGCCAGGCAAGATATTCAGTCAAACTCTCTGAGTTCCGCTCTTCCTCTCTCCCTCCTTCCTGGTTTTCTCCTTAATCTCATTCCAGTTTTGTGCAATTTTACTCATTCTACGGCACTTATCTCCAGCAGCTCCAACTCATTCACATACATATGGCTGTCAAACTCGGCAGCTCTGCTTCTCTCATTGTAGGTGGAACTGTGACTTTTAAGACCCTGTCCCACAGACCCTAATAATTCATAGCAGGTATTTTTAAACCAAGCTAATAAAACACTTCATAACATTAGCACGTTAATCTGTGTAACAAATAGGAGAAGATTCGGTGTGACAAACAGGATTACAATATAAAGAATAGGACTGCCAGCAACCCGCCTGCAATTACTGAGGTGCTGCTGTTTCGCATAGACCCCTACTTTATTACTTTGCAAATACATTTGAGCAGAGCTGTCACTGCAAGGAGTGAGCTCAACCCTCCTCCCACACCCAGCTGCCTGCTCCCAGTCCCATGCCAGCCCATTTCTATGAATACAAGTGGTGACCTGATCCGGGATAAAGTTAGCTCTCACCCCTCTTCTCCTCTGGGGTGTTGATTAGTTTAAACAAGGAATTTTCCAATTCAGTTCACCACACGACTCCTACCTTGGCTGCCCAAGGGAAGGGAGCAGCATATGGGTAGGAAATAGGATAAATACTGTGGTGGCAGTGCAACTCAATTTTTCATGGAAACACGACCAAACTTCCCCCTTCACAATCACTGTGGTGTTTCGTCTCCTACGCAGCCACAACCTTAGGAATAGTTACTTAGGGGAAATTAGGCCTTCAAGAAGGTAAATTTACTCTTCCAAGATTCTCTGGGAAAACCAGCATGTGAAGATCCAAGCAGTCATGACCAGACTGCATCTACTAACTTAGGTATCTCAAACACCTCTTCAGTATATCTCTATTTTAACACCACAGACTGCAGTATACAATAAGAACTTGAAGGAGAATGAATTAGCTCATGCTATAGCTAAAAGTCAGGTATCATGCAACGCACACTCTATCACAACTTCGTAAAAAAGAGGGTCATACCACAAATGCCACTTTCATGTCAACTAATCGCAGTGATATCATTCCTGGTATAAAACATTTGCAGTATCACCAGCCTGCTCTGGTTTCAATAGCACGTGGTAATTTTATCATTCATTCAGCGCTACGCAGCAGAACAATGTTTGTATCTAAATGTGGCAAAGACAAGTAGCACATGACACTTGAGGTCCTCATTCCTGTTGCTTCCCAAAGGGCTGTGGGTCCCCAGCCAGACAGCTCTTGCTCAGACATGTTGTGGAAACACCAACCATCTCCACAGACTGACAGGCAAGCTCTACGTGCCAACTGCAGCTGGAGAGCAGCATTATCGTGTGTCACAACACCTGCTGCAAAAGTCCTAGTTTCCTATTCCTTAATACAGTATGCCATCTCACCAAAAAGATGTAACCACATCAGATATCTATAAGGAGTGTAAAGTCATAAAGTTGCAAATAGTAGGATTAAAATGTAAGTAGGATAGCTTTTGAAAAAATGTAATCAAGGTCCCACTTGTACATGACCACAGAGCCTTACCCACACTTTGTGGCTGACCAGGGAATGTAGCCACAAGTCAAGCCTTACCAATGTTAGTCTGCTCTATTTAGGCCATGATCCAAAGCCTACTTGCATTAATGACAACCTTTCCATGAAATTCACCAACTATTGTAACAGGAAAATGTTGCACTTCTATATCCGTTCTCTCTCACTTCTTTCACATCCACGTGACAATGATGCAAGCGTTTAATAACTTCTGCTTACATCAACACTTCAGGTGGATAGCTACAACCACCTATATAGCACTTAACACCCATTTGTCATTTTAACCATTTTATTTAGACAACAGTTTATTTATAAACATGCCTCTGATTTGTAAAAATAAGCTTCACAGTCCTCAGATGAGGTCTGTACTTAACTGGAGGCTTCTCTTCCGCAGGTGAACTTTTCCAAAGTACTCTTTGGTATCTACTGCACTGCATTTTTGGTGCTTTTCTTAAAAAATGAAGAAGTTGCTGCATTTGTTTCATTATTGATTTAACAAATTACCCAGTCTGAGCAAAACTAACAACTGAATACTTTAAACAACCTGATACTTGAAGCCTTATGCTTCTCTGTTAAACATCATTTTGTTAAAGGCAGCAATCTGTAAGGCTTGCAGAGATTATTTGTTAGTTGTTTCTTTTAATAGAATGATAGATAAGCCATCTGGCAAAGGAAAATGCAGTTCCTCACTTTCTGGTACCAAGGAAACTGCTTTATCTTTCTCTCTTCTCAGTAAAAGTCATAAGACATTTTACTTACGGCATCCACTTTGACGGCTGAAAGTACGACTTCCATAAGGATCAGCAGAAGTCCCATATCCCTGCAGGGAAAGGTGAATAAGGACAACATTGTTTTAAGCCAGCACAAAACAAGCAAGTGATAACGCTCTACAGTTAAAGGTGACAATACGACTTTAAAAAAGTTATTTCCAAAAGCCTGCCGAGCGGAATTACTTACTGACAAAGGAAAATACGTGCACTGGGAAGCTGCGAGATGTCCATTTTCGTTCCTTCCCTTGCCGGGGGCTCGGCTCAGGGCTCCCTCCCGCCGGACGGTCGCCCCTACAAGGCAGAGAAGGACCCGCTCGTAACACCGCTCCCCCCGCCGGAGGTCTCCGGGCTCCGCGCCGCCGCTGCCAGGGCAGGGAGCGGCCCCTCCGCCCGGGCCGGGCCAGGGAGCTCCGATCGGGGGGAGACCGGGGTGTCGCGCCGCTCCCCGCAGCCCCCCCCGGGGGCGCGGACCCCAACGGGCCGGCCAGAGGCAGCACCCCCGGCCCTTCCCCGCCCCTCCCGCCGCCCGGCCCCGCGCCCGCTCCGCACCGCTGCGCTGCCGAGCCCTCCCGGCGGCCGCGGCCGTGTGCGCCGAGCGAGCGGCGCCTCCCCCCTCCGCCCGCGCCCCCCCGGCTCGCCAGCCACCCGCGGAGGGGAGGAGGAGGAGGAGGAACTGCGGACAGCGGGGAACAGGAGCGGGCGAGGTCCCCGCCCGGGGGAGGAGAGGGGGCTGCCACCGCCCATCGTGTACGGCGAGTCCTTCGCCCCCGAGGCATTGCAGGCTGCGCGGCCGCGACGGAGGGGAGAGGCGCGCATGTGGGGCCGGCCCCGCGGAGCCCCACTGTGAGCTGCCGGCGCCCCGCCGCCCAGGGATCGACGGCGCGGAGCGGTGCGCGGCAGCATGCGGCTCTGGCTGGGCTTCGGGCTGCTGCTGAGCGCCGAGCTCAGCGCCGTGTCCGCCGCGGTGAGTACGCGGGGGAGACTCCCTCGGGCTGCGACACCGGGTGCCCACGCGGGACCCTCTCACGGGGAGGTGCGGGGAAGGGTCGGGACGGGGCGGCGGCGCGGGGCCCTCGCCCTCGGAAAGGTGGGGCAGCCAGGTGGGCTGTACGGGGATGCCCGGCTGCCCCACCGCCGCACCTCCGCGGGCGCGGCGCGGAGCGGAACGGGCGGCACCGCCAGGGGCTGCCGGCGGGGTCCGGGCTGGGACGGGCCCGCCGCGCTCTCCCTCTCCCACGGCTCGGCACAGAGCGCCGCTGGCTGGGGACGGAGTATAAAGCACGCACCCACACGGGACTTAAAAGTAGCGAGTTGTGTTTCCGCGGTAAAAAAAACACAAAACAACAAACACCAAACAAAAAAGCACAAACAAACAAATGAAAAAAAAATATAACAGAGCAGTGTTGGTTGCTTGGATTAAAAGTGCCGTGCGCGCTGTCTTTGACCCCCGCGACGGGCAACAGGCTGGAGACCAGGAAGGATCCTAATGTTAATAGTTAAAGCTGAATTTTGGCACCTTTCCCGATGGAGCCAGATTGTGGCACAGACTTGTAAAATCGAAAGCATGCAAGTAGTCTGAAAGTTTTGCTAAGGGAGCTAATTTTATCACTGAGATAATAGCTATTTGCTGTCCTTAAATTTTAAGGACTCTCTTTCCTGGCGCTCCTAAAGTATTTTGGCAGTTTCTTCTGTACCTCTAGGTAAAGGGCAGTTGACATAATAATTTGAAATAGGTCATCTTTTTCTGTCTCCTTGTTTTCTTGCATATGGTTAGGTTGATACTATATTAGTGAAATTCAGGGGTGCAGAAAACTTGGTATTAGGCATAGGCATATGGATTTTTGTCATGCTTCCTGCTATAAATAGAAGATCTTGTATTAACATTTTAATAATTTTAATGGTTATGTTGCACCCTGCCCCTGAAGGCAAGGTAACTGAGGTTCTTGTTAATAATAGGTCTTTTGGGGCAGATTAGAGGGAAATGACACTAAATGACCACTGATAATATATATGTGGCAGACTTATTTCAGATCAATTTGGTTGCAATGGAAAGGAGATATGTAGCCATTTTGGTTATGTGGTTATTATTATCTATAGTAATATAACAATATAAAAGTATAAAGATATCACTTAACAAAATATATAAAGATAAGAAATAAAGAGAGAGGGAGAAAGGATAAGAGTAGATAGTGGAGAGGAAAGATATCACCACCTGTGGACCCAGCAGTGAGACTTGAATGTTGCAATTTTGATGTCCGTTGGTTGGAGTGATGGTTGCAGCCTTGATCGTTCAGATGTGGAGAAAGCTGAGAAAACACAGAGTTCAGTGGGTTCAATATGTTCAGGTTTACATGGAAATGCCCAGGTACACCCACCTCCTGCTCTAGTGGGGGTGTACTGTCTGATACAACACTGTAGATCGTACGCAGTCCTATGGTGGAAGACCCGAGAAATGAGTCTGTGGGCACTTTGGGGGTCTTTGATGGTTTATTACACCTTCTAAGACATGGCTGCTGTCTCTCAGTTCATTGTAGTTGAGCCAGTTATGCCCTATTAAAAAGGATGAATACCTTCAGGCCTACACATGAATGTCCCAGTAATTCCAGAAGGGAGTTTTCACATCTAAGCCAGTTGTGTAAGGGAGGACCTTGGCATGATGAAAAGCATTATCCCACCTCACAGGATCTGCTTCTTATTTGCCTCTTCCTTTACCTGGCTCATAACCCAACTTGTAGCTCTGGTGGTGGGTGTGCCACCTGCATCTGGATGGTTACATGGCGCACCATCACCAAAGCACCCTCCTGTTTTTGCAAATGGTCGATTCTGTGAGCCATTAACCATGAACATTTCAGTCTCTCACAGGTTATTTTAAACTTTTCTGCAGTTTCAGATGAAATTTAAGTTCTATGATGAGTTTTTTTACCTCTTTGTGGCCATGGGGTTAATATGTATGCCTTGAATCATCTGAAGTAAGTGATACACTGAACTTTTGATGTCTTATCTGTTGTTCCTAGGCTGACAATATCAAGCTTACTGTTGTTGCAGTAAATCACTCAGTGGTGAACCTCTTAGGCGATTTACCTGTCATCACTTGGCATTAAGCTGATTAAACTGTATTCCTTTCAGGTTTTAATTAATTTTAATTAATTAGGATATTTTGAAGTAAGTGATTCATGTTTGGGTTCTGAATTTGGTACTTCTAGAGGTATAAATACCTATTTGTGAGAAACGTTCCCCTCTTGTGCTGTAAAGTCAAGTCATTGGGTAAACCATGACTGTTAATCCAAGACAGAAAACAATAGGTAGGTAAGAGGTGCTTAATAAAAGAAGATACAAACTTTAATATCAGTTGTACAATTTCAAGTCTTCTGGAGCAACTCTGATGAGGCTCTGTTCTAGAAGTGTCCTGTATATGCTGGACAAATTGTTTTGTTAAAATCAAGTTTCCTTAAAATGTAACCTAGAGCTGTTAATTATATTATGAAGCTATTCCCATAGTTGAATGTTCTTTATATGTTAAGCTGACTGTGGATTTATAGTTCCTCGGCAGTGCCACCAGGAAACACAAGTATGCTGTGGAAGTTGACCTCCTTGCAATTTTGTTGCCTTAGGTAAACTTTCAGCTGTTCATGGGTGGCTTTTCAGTCAATTCAGTTCTAGCATTTTCCCCAACTCCACGTTGTTGCCAGTCACTAGCAACCACTCAAAAGGTGATGGAGACTGCTGTTGGCCTGCACCATACCACAGGTGGGTGGTGGTCAAGGGGCTTATCTTTGGAGATTCTTGAGCAGGGCTGATCCCTCTGCCTGATTGCGGCTGGGTGGTGTGAAGCACTGTACACCTGGGCAGGACCTCTTCTGCTTTTGGAGAGCTGGCAGAGCTGACTCAGTGCTCACATTGTCCTCAGATGAACGTGTTCCCACTGTTTACATTTAAAGAGTAGTTGTTTTAGCAGAGGACTATGTGATAGGCAAGGTTGTATGCAGTACTCTTTGCAATAGGCTGAATGGAGCAACCACTTTTCTGCAGAAAAAAAAAATGATGCTGGTTTCTTCCTTCCTTCCTTCCTTCCCTAAAATAGCTTATATTAACTAGACCTTTTTTTAATGGCTTTTGTGCAGCCACAGTCTTCTAAATTTCCCTGTGGCCTTCATCACAAAATTGCTGAGTCTGATGGGTACCTTGGAGATCATGAAGTCCGACTCTCTGCTCAGAGCAGGGCCAGCTACAGCAGGATGCTCAGGGCTTTGTGCCACTGAGTTTTCAATATCTCCAAGGATGGAGACTGCTCAATTCCTCTGTGTGCCTGTGCTGAGTCACCCTCATAGTAAATGTTTCTTCATATGTGCATCACGGTTGGGAAGGGTAACTAACTGAGACTTGAGACTGTGCCTGTGAACGCAAAAAAACGTAGCAGAAGCAGCTCATGCACTGTTGTCGGTGGTGATTCTGCAGTCTGTCAAAGCTGACAGAGTGAAAAATTGTTTTAATCTCTGACATATCTGTGATGAAATATATACAAGGAGATTTGGAAGGACTGCTCTCACAGAGGCATTTGACATAGCAAAGCCAGCCTTGAGCAAGCTGCTGTCAGGATCATGTGCCTCAGTACAGAAAGAGGGAGCTGCTCTGTTGTAGCTCCTGTTGGTTTTAATGGGACACTATAAAATGTATCCAGATGTGACACTGGAAGTTTAGTAATTTTTTTATGTTGACCAATTATAATTAAAATATTAATTATAACTAGTCTGGGCTTTTGTACTGTTCTACATTCTTCTCGGGAGATTTGTTTTCAAATTATAATGAGGGCAGAGTGGAAGACAGGGCAGTAGATTAAGATGTTTCCAGGTCAGGCTGAGAGACTGCTCCCACGAGACAGTTACAGGAGAAGCTTGTTTTGATGGATCTCTGCAGGGGCTCTCATTTCTGACACTCTTCAGCCTGCTATTTCCTTTGGAGAAAGTCTGTTTCCTAACATTAGTACTGCTTGGTTGAGAGATGACAATGCCATGGAAATCCTGGTTTCATGTTTCGGTACCTTGTCGATGCTGCTGCAGCAGCAGCCCCTGTGCTTTCTGCAGTGGAGCAAGATCTTCCAGCTGCGCTTGTGTTGCTTCCACACAAGTGAGCTGGTGCCGTATAACACTAGTGGAATGAAGATGTCTTGGCCACCACTGCTCAGCAGTGGGCTTAGCATTCTCTCCAAGTTCCCAGTCCATCTCCCTTTCTACTTTTAGTCTTGCCAAAATGGATACTGGGACAGAGCTGAGAACAAGCTCTGTTGAGCTAATAGGGAGAGGTACTTCATAACAGTGATAAAAGCATGCATAATTTTTTCCACAAGGGCAATGCTGATTCCACCAGTGCTATTTGAGCTGATTATGTGGTGGCAGCTACACTGGTGGGAGGCCAGGAGGTTTCTATCCCTGGATAAGCCCTGTCTGGGGAGCAGTGCCCTGTACATGGCCAGGCAGAGGCCACTCCGTTATATTGTACTCATGCCTTCCTTGTGTCACCTCTCCTGTTTTTACATCATATATGGGGATGCAATATAATGCATGCCATTCTAGGCCAAAAGCAGAAATAATA